ACAGCCACAAAGTGCCAGTGTCAGGACTCAAACCCAGGTCTCTGGCTCCAAAGCTCTCTACTTCTCCTACTTCACAGTCTTGCTTGTCATGCTTTCATGTGCCTTAGAGTTAAATGCCAGCACCATGGAGAATTGCAGGAATGGTAGGGTTCAACTCAACCCGCAACTACACAGACACCCTTTTTCCAGTGTCCTGGACTAAGGGTCACTGAGCCTATGCAGGGATTTCCAGAGGACCACCCTGGCTCAAAGGGGTGCTCTGGAGGGAAAGGGTTCTCTGAAGGGTCTTTGGATCCCAAAGGGTGATACGTTAGCAAATCAGAGGGGGCTTCCCATGCTCTGTGGCTCTGATTCTTCCTTGCTGTGGAGAGAAGGGAGGGATCTGTGAGTGCATGTCAGGAGGGGTGCAATTTGGAGAAGGGGACAGGAGCGCGGTGAAGAGAGTGTGAGAGGAGAGAGGAAAGCAGCACCTCACCTCTACCCTACCCGGGAACCACTGCGGAACTCCAGAGGGCCGAGTTCTGCCTTCTGGGGAGAGCTGGCTCTGAGCTCACCTGTGAGGCTCCCCAGCTAATGATCTCTCCAGCCCAGTCCCTGCCAGACTTGTGGACTAATGATGTCAAATGTGAGAGGAGAAGCGGCAGCTGAGAGAACACTCTGTGTTAGAGCAAACAGCTGGTGACAAACGTCTCTGTAATTGGCATGCCAGAAAAAATAAATTGCATCCATTTTTATGACTAGAAGGGAATTTGATGGTGGTTTCCCACCCACCCCCCTTTTATCCCAGCATAGATGGACTCTGTGGGCTTTGAAGGCAAATGGTATTTAACTCAGTAACTTCGCCAGGAGGATGTGGAAAGAGAACCTCTTCTCATGCACCCATGTCCATGTGGGAGGCAGGACAGGGAAGGGCAGGCCCCCCCGCATGCCTCTCTCACCGGCTAAGTGACCTTGGTCAAGCTCCTCAGGCCTCTGAACCTCAGCTTTGTTATCTGGACAATGGGACAGCCCTGATGCCCACCTCGCAGACTTGGCGGGAAGTCACAAGGCAATCCATCACAAGACCTAAGCTCCATGCCCAGCATGTAATCCAGGCTCTGAGAAGCTCAGGTATCATCAGTGTTCTTGGGACGCACTGCTTGGGGGTCCCAGCAGTCTCTGGGAGCAACTCTCAGGTCTGTGTGAAACACCCGGCGGGGCACAGGGAAAGTAAGAGCGACGCGTTTGGTCATTCGGACAGTCATTAAACAGGAAAAGCCCGACCCCAAAGGGCCTGTAAGGTTCTGTAAGCCACCTTACAGAAGTGGACACGGAGGCCCCAGCAGGGGTGACCATGGACATGTGGGTGGGGGCAGAGCCAGGACAGTGCCCCTCAGTGGACACTCTGGGGACACAGAAGGCCCTGCACACAGATCCAGCCAGAGCAGGAGCCCTTGAAACTCTGCCTCCTGTGCTCTGGGGCTTGGGCATGGTCCACATACACAGCAGGAACCACCAGGTCCAGCCACCAAGCCTCGAAGAGCCAGCCCCACCCCCCAGCCGGCACAGCCCCGGGGGGTGCCCAGTCACCACCCAGGCTTCCGGAAGAGCCCTTCACTCAGTGCATCAGGACATTTTTTTTCTCTCCCCGTCTCCAAATGGCCTGCACGCAACCCGAAGGCAGGGACTTGCTGCTGGCCATCTAGCACCAGGGTCGAAACTATGCTGTCAATGTCAGTAGCCGTTATTTTCCTCTGGTTAGTACTCCAGGGGTTAAAGTGGCTGGAAAGGAGCACCCCGGATTGTGGGAGACCGGTCCCTTGCTATTCTGCAGGTCTGGCAAGGCCCCCCCAGCCCAGGTGTGAAACAGTCCTGCTGTTCTTCCTCTTTCTCCTCCTCCTCCTCCGAAGCTCCCGGGAGTTGCTGCTTTAAAAACAGGAGCTGCAGAAACATGGCCCAGAGCCAGGTGCTTAGCGTGCATTATCTCAGCTACAGCAGAGTCAGAACTGAGCTCTCCAGGGCCCATCCACTCCCCCCGCACCTCCCCCCGCCCCTGCCCCTGCCCCCATCCCTGGGCTGGGCGGCCTCTGACATGGGCCTCCCTGCACGACCTGGCTCCCTAACGAGGCTCTGAGCCCTCAAAGTTGTGCCCTGGGAGGCCCAGAGACAGAGGACCCACTGGTCAAGGGTCTCCAGCCCTGCCAGGGAAGGGCTGAGATGGGGCCTGACGGGGGCGGGGGGAATTCACTTTATATCCCATTCCTAACACAGGTTTGCGGGGGTGGGGGGTGTCAAGGCAGCTCATTAGAGATACAAGGGATCTTAGAGGACACTGTGCGCTGTCTCTCATGGAGGTATCCCAAGAAAGGGTCACCCGGCCTCTTGGGTTCACATTCACTGTGAGGGTGCCATTGAGGGGAATGGCTGAAATTGCTATTGGTCGAGCTGGTGAGGGTCACCATCATCACAGCTGCCATTTACAGAGGACCTCCTCTGAGCCACTCACTTACCCTGGCATGCGTTCTCTAGTTTCTTCCCTTCTTTGCCTTCTCTCTCCCTCTCTCTTTAGCATGTAAGCCTGGCTCACTCCTATCCCCAAACCCGCAGTGGCCACGGGGGAGGGGGACAGAGACTTGATCTCAGCCCCTAAACCATCCCTCTACAGGGACTGCGGAGGGTGAAGTCCCCCGTTCGGAGCTCACTCCACATGCTCAATAAACACTGAATGAATGAACCATCAGGGGATCTCCAGGGGCACCAGCCCCCCTGATTCCGATGAACAAAACGGGGGCCTGCCCCAGCCACTCAGGGCCACTGGGCAGGTCACTGGAGACCCTCCCTGAGGACACCTCAGGACTCACCTACGTGCATGGCGACAGACATGCAGGAAAACACAAGCCACAGAAACAGGGGTGGCCCTGTGAACCGCCCCACCCACCAGCCAGAGCAGAACGCTGGGGAGGGACAGGTCCTTGGATATCCTGGCACCTCAGGACCCTGGCCATCTACGTCCTCCCGGCAGTGCTGACTGCAGACACAGCTGCTGGGGGAGAGCAGCCCCGGGCCCACCACGCAGCAGGAGGGGACGCAGGGTACCAGCAGTCCCCTGCTCTTCTGAGGTGAGGCAAAACCTCCACTTGGACATGGAGGCTGGAAAGGGCCTGAGAAATCACTGATGAGGTTCCCACGGTACCCACTTATCAGCAACAAACCACAACCTGCCACCTCACTCTCCCAATCAGGGCGATGGGGGGTTGGACACAATGGTCTCTAATGTGTCTCAGATCTGAGGGGATTTGAGGGGAAGCCATGAGCTCATCTCCGTTTGGCATCTTCACCCCGCTCCCCTCCCATCCTCCGCAGCCAGGACTCCAATCAAGGAACAGGGAAGGGAAGGGCCGGCCCTCCCGTCTTGGTGTGTGAGTGGGGGACACGCGGGGGGTGGTGGGGAAGGGGATGAGAGGTGGATTTGGAGCAAACGGGCGCCTGCCCACCCTGCCCATCCACACCTCCGGGCTGCCCCAATGCCACGGGAAGTTCACCCAGAGTTTACAAACCTCCTTTGTCACAGAGCCCTGCACGGAGCCATCAATCACGCCCTTAATTTACCCGTGTCACTTTCCAGAGGAAAGCGGTCCTGCCAGCAGCCAGTGGCGCTTCCTCTCTCACCCACTTGATGAGGATTTCATCTAATTGGTCCACGTTAAATCACTCCCAGGAATGCAACGTACAATTACCGCAGTAGCGGCAGTGGCTGGCTGGCAGCGGGGACAGAGTGGGGCCCTCCCTGGCGGAGGCAGGACGGTCCATGGGGAGGCCTTCCTGGCTCTGGGCCCAGAGGTCTCTGGGAAACCTGGGGAACCCAGAGAGAGCCTGCTGGCGGGGGGGGGGGGGGCTAGGCGGGTAATGTCAGGGATGAGAGGGAGAGGCAGGCCAGGAAGGAAGGATGGAGGATGCCAGTCACTGGGCTCCCTCACCCTCTCCAGCCCTGGATGGCCAGGGGGGCAGCCATCTCCCCCAGCCTCCATCCACCTCGTGGACACACCCTCTGTGTCTCTTCCCCTGGAACAGAGATCCAGAGGGTTGCCGTAAGCCTTACTCAGTACTACCTGGCACGGACCCCCAAATGGAAAGGCAGGGGAGCACAGGCCATTCAGGGGCCATAGCCGGGCCCACCACCCTTCCTCCCGCACATCCTTCTCCAAACACATTGAGCTACGTGCAGGCTGGTTCCTCTGTCTCGATGCTAGGCCCTGCTTCATCTTCCCAGTGACTTCCTGGTTGTCCTTCTGGGCCCAGATCAAAGACCTCTTACCCTAAGATGCACTTTCAAACCCCCTTGGGCAGCAGAAGTAAGCTCTCCCTCCTCCACCTGGCCTTCCACCGCCCTTAGCCCAGACCTCCGAGACTACCCTGTCATACTCTGCCACCCGTATCCACTGACAGAAGAATGACTCCGACCATCCTGTGAGCTTCATGGGCCCTGGGACCACATTTGTCACCTTTATAGTCCTGTCTGGCATGCTTGGTACAGGGCTGGGGATCAGCAAATCTCTCCAGAATGAAAGAATGAATTACAAACGTCACTCGCCTTAATGCATGGCCGCAGGCAATCCCCAGGCCAAGTCATACTCCCAAACGTGCTGAAGAGCTCTCCAGTCCTGTGACCCGGCTCAGGGGAGCTTAGTCTGGCTCATTCTGATACAACACCTATCAGGGGCCGCCTGGGCACATCAGCACCAGAGCACGGAAAACCAGAAAAGAGCTCCAGACCTACAACCTTCCCCATGAAGGGAGCACACCCAGACCCAGAGGCCCGGGGTGACTGTGCAAGGTACCCGACAACCCCATGACCAGGAGTAGGGTCACCCCTGTAATCCCAGGGAGCGACCCCCAGCAAACCTCCAGGAGGCTGACCTTGCTGGCCCCATCAGAAGCCTGGTTGAGAGCAGAATGCCCAACTTCCGCTCCCACCTCTCCCACCCCACTCGGGAGGCTGCTGAGTGGCTGCTGGCATGTACCTTGCGCTTCTTGGCACGTCCCTCGGCTTGCAGGGTGCGGGTGCAGCGCTGCACGCACTCGGAGAAGCTGAGGTTGCTGTGGTCGGCGCTGTAGTCGAGGTCTGCCAGCCGCGCCAGGGACAGGATGTAGTTACAGGCGATTCTCAGGATGGCCAGTTTGGACAGCTTCTGCCCGTAGGAGTAACACGGCACCTGGGGGTTGAGAAGGTGTCAGGAGGGGCTGCTGGCGGGGGGGTGGGGGGGGAGGTGGGGCTCTGGGCCCTGGCCAGGCAGATGGGGCCACTCACAATGACGTCCCGCTGCCCGAGAGGGGACCCCCGGGCAGCAAAGATGGCCTGTTGAATCCTTTGACCTGGCTTTTATTTTCTGTTCTCAGTACCCACTGTGTGCCTGCACGCATCTCAACTCGTCCACTCACAATCTCCAGGAGACACCCGCGTTCCCACCGTTGCAGGGGAAGAAACAGTGGCTCATCTCACACCCACGGGGCAACAGGAATGAAGCATGTAAGGTCCCACGCTGACAGAGCTCCGTCCCCCACAGTCCCTAAGAGAGAGTCTCTCTGACAAAACTGACATGCTTCCTCTCTTTTGGCTCTGATACTCCGACCACCCACCCACTCAGTCAGCGGACCTTGTTTTGTCAGACACTCGCGGGTCCCACTCTGAATAATAACTTGCTTCCTGACTTCAGAGAACTCACACTTGAGAGAGATGTTAGTGTCATAACAGAGTTAGGGACCCAGGACTCTGGGGACATACAGGAAGGAAAGTGCCCGTGCTTAGCCGGGAGGGCCTTCCTTTTTCTTTTCTCTTTTTCTTTACGCCCTCTGGACTTGCAGGTGCTGCTGGGCAGGCAACAGGTGCATAATAAATATTTACAGCCGCAACCAGACTTGACGTGCTTGTCAGTGACTCATCGCCAAGCAGACGTCTGCTCACTAATTTGCACAGGGGTTTGTACGGGGTGAAGAGACAAAGCATCTAACTTTCTAACACCGTCCGCCGGTGCTGGAACCGCACAAGCAAAAAGCAACGAAGACTGTGCTGAGACGTGGAAATGCTCCCACACCGTCCATCTGATGTGTGCTACCTATCCCCTCTCTGATGTACCACTCACCCGAATGGCTGGGCCGTGCTTACCCAGCCCCCAGGGCTCCAGTTTCCTCCTCTCTCTGGCATCCAGATCAAGACACAGCACCCACCCCTACCACCGACTCTGGGACCCATTAACCCCCATCCCGCAGAGTGGGCTGCCCCAGCATGAACACTCAACAAGTATTTGGTGAGTGTCCCCCATATACCAGCCCCTCTTCTGGGCCAACCGGGGATGATTCTATCCCTCGGGGACCGTAGGCGATATCTGCAGACATTCTTAATTGGCAGTACTGGGGAGTGGTGGAGGGAAGGTGGTACTGGCCCCTGCTGGACAGAGGCCAGGGAGGCTGTTAAACATCCTGCAGTGCACAGGGTACTATAAGTTCCCCGCCACCAAGAACTGCCCGGCCCGAATGGTCACTGGTGCAGAAATTGAGAAAGCGTGGCTAAGGGAGTCCCCTCAGATGGGGACCCAAAATGCATGGTCCACTTTGTTCTCACGTTGTCCTGGAGCTCTCTCGGACCTTCACTTCCCAATCCTGCACTAGGGGGTGAGGGGAGGAGAGCCAGAGCAGGCCCTGCCCTTAAGAGTGCACTAATAGCCCCCCGACTGTCCTCAACTTCTGATTACTGTGACTCCTTTAACAGGCAGTCTCCCAGAGAGCTGAGGGGCAGAGGCCCACGTCTGCAGGGCCTGGCACAGATCTTGCCCCTAACAGACCCTCCAAAGAGTTTGTTGAACGAGAGAATGAATGAACAAATGACCGGCCTACCTTTACATTCACCAGGGGGCTGCGGAATGTTTGGAAAAGTGTTCAAAACCCTTTCTTCTCCCAGATGATGGAGACTTAGCTTTTCAGTGTAGAGCTGAAGCCCACATACCTTTTGGCCATCTGGGCTCAACTCCCGACTCCAGCTGTCCAGGGCTAGCAGACCCCAGGCCACTGAGCTCGTCTTTCCATGGGCAGGCTTCCTCTCCATCTACTCACAGGACCGCACCCACCACCACAGGCGCACGGCAGAGAGTGAGGCCCGAGGTAAGTCAGTAAGTCCTTAAGAGCGGGGCTGCAGAAGGTCCCCGAGGCAGGGTTCTGGAGCAGGTGAGAAGCATGACAAGATGCCTGCTTATCACCGCCACCTCCCCACCGCTGGGCTCCTGAAATGGCCCCCACACCAGAGGCAAGGTTTGCTGTCCCCTTTTAAAATCTTCCAGCAGCCACAGAGCTGCCACTCACTGGACTAGGAAACCGAAGGAGGGGCAGGCTGGTGATGAAGAGAATGCCGCCTCCTGTGCAGTGCCCACCCCCGCCTACCCTCCAGTCCCGGCTGTGGCTCCAAACCCATCCAAGAAAAGCTGGCAGAACAATGCACTTTGCCTGTTCCCAACCAGAGTCCAGAGAATCCTGCTTTATCAGCCTGAACAAATAAACAAGGTTAGTGGGACAGAAAGGTTCCCTGGAGTCCTGGCACAGGGGAAGGGGGGTGTCTCAAGAGCCAACCCAGCACCCAGGAGGGAGTGCCTACCTGCCAGAGGCCCTTGGGGACTGGGCATAGCTCCGTGACACAGGTCCCTCCTGGTGTTTTCCCAGGGGCCACACTGGGAGTTACCTGGCTCACTGAGCTCTTGGCCCCTGAACAGATGGGCTTTCCTGCCAGTGGGCAAGGAATCTTGGGAAGGATCTGAACATGAGAAGCCAGGGTCATTGCAGGATTACAGAGCAACAGATGTGGCCAACCAACCTAGGGGCTCCAGTCCAGGGTCTGGGCCAAGTTTTGTCACTCTGTCCCATTTAAAACCTTCTCCCAAATAAAGACGGTTATCCCATCTGCACATGAAGATAAAAAGAGGTGGACATCTTGGGCCCCAGTTCACTGAACTAAGACCTGAAGCCATGCCAGGAGCTTGTCTGTCTAGTAGTCCAGGAAGGTTCATGGCCACTGAGCTCCCTAGACTCCCTCCAGCACAGGTGGCCACATGTAGGACGCCAAGGGCAACTTTTGGGTGGCTCCACCCCCCTCCTCATCCTCCTGCCCTGGGTGGGAGATACTCTTCGGCTCGCATGGTTAATTCCAGACCCTCCTGGTACCCATTCCCTAGGATGTAGTCCTGTGCCCCCAGAAGCCCAGTTCAGAAGCACCCTGGCCTGGCCCAGCCCCCACGAAGTGAGAGTCCGGCAGCAGATCCTAGTTCTGGGAGGGGGAGAAGGGTGGAAGGAGCTGGTCTGAAGCGCAGGCACTTCCAGCGACTTTGGGAGGTGCCTTTGGTTCTCTGGGCCTTTGTTTCCTCATCTGGAGAGTGGGAACAACAATGTCTGGGAACCCAGGCCACCCCTGGCTGCTTATGTGACCTACTAAGGGTATTTTTAATACAATGCCTATATTTATCTTTAAACGGCCCAGTGAGGTAGAAATGATCTCTTCCACTCTGCAGAGAAGCATCCGATGCCTTAGCTGGGCTCTTTCCAATTAGTTGGAAGCAACAGCTTGTGGATTTGGATAAGCCTTTATAGCCCTCGGGGGTTGGCAGCCCACCTTTCTGACCTGGGGTTGGAGAGTTCTGGACTGATGATCCCATGGGCCTTTAGCCTTTGGGCATGACCAGCCGCCCCACCACCTGCAGAGGACCCCCTCAGCAGCGGTCTGCTCCACTAGTCAAAGGACACAGGGCAAAGGAGGCAGCACAGTCACGTGTCTTCTATTCCTAACACTGCCCAACTTCTAGGGAAGTAAAAGGACTTGCCTTGTGCTCACCCCGTGCCGTAAGGATTTTTAAGCTTCAGAGGACCAGGTGTAGGGATTGTCACAAGGTCCCCTATGACCTTAAAGGATCTCAGCTTCCTTACCAACAAAATGACCAAAGTCCCCACGACCTGAGAAGGGGATGTGAGGAAGCAAATCCAGGCAGTTGCTACAGAGAAACAGCGCCGAAAAGCTACCAGCCCATGCAGTGAAGTGCTCAAAGCCATCCCCTGCTTCAGATCCTGCCCGCGATGCCCTCCTGGAAGCCTGTCGGGACTCCTGGGTCTGCAGAGCTCCCAGAGCACTGTGGGCACGACCCACCTCTGAGCGCCCGATTCTACTGGAACGTCTTCTCTAACCTCTCGTGTCGGCGTGAGGGCTGGCTTCCTGGGTGAAACCCCTTGGTGCAGAGCTCTTCAAGGTCCTTGTCAAGTTCTACCGAAATAGTTTCTCTAAAATCCCTTTTCCACACAGCCATGAGGCTGGACCTTGAGAACCTGGGTCTTGGTATTTGTGAGCCATGGCCCCAGGGCCACACAGGCCTAGAAAGGGGACCATAAAGACACTTAACAACAGGCTCAGGTAGGGCACTTCCCCCAGTGCAATGAGGCTCAGTAACGAGCCACTGTGGTGAGTGGTCCTGAGGGAGCAGAGTGGACGCCTCTTTCACCCCTCAACCATGTGGATGGAGTCCCCAAAGCAGGCCTGTCCCCATTCCCTGGGGAGGCACGCACTGGTTGCTGTGGGGTCATGGGCCCCTGGCAGGCTGTGAGGTCTGTGACTGAGGGAAGGGCAGGGTTGGGGGCACCACCCCATCCCCCCTCATAGTCCATCGTGAGTTCCCTCTGTGAGGATCCCCCGGGAGACTCCAAGGGCAGCAGAGAAGGGGACCCAGGCCCGACTTGCTTGGCACCCACTTCCTAAAGAGTCACCTCAGCAGGTCCTGAGGGCTCCTCACAGCCTCCTCCAGCCTCAGCCTTGCAAGGCCGCCATTCCTCCTTCAAAGCTGAGGGGCTTCAAGTTTTGAGGGGAAGGAGGAAAGCTGCACACACACCAGATGTCCCAATGTGCCGTCCGGAGGCCAAAGCCAGGATGCTGGCCTCTCCCCTACCCCCGCCCCGTCCCCCCAGCAAGGCCAGACTTTCCTTTCGACCCCCTCCCACCTGGCCCTGGAGCAGCCCCGCACACGGGCCAGGCCCAGCTGTGCACACATGGCCTTCACATGAGGCGGCAGGAAGGGCCCTACGCAGCTGGGCTAGTGGCATGTGCTGTGGCCTGACCATCTGCCCCACACATTCCCCCCTCCACCAGACCAGAGGGCCTCTTCCCCACCTGCACTTCCGTGGCCAAGCAGCTCCCTCTCTTCCCTTCCCAGTTAAGAGCACAGTGGGTTGGACCAAACAGAAGGCTTCCTGGTGGGTGGGTGCTGAGGGTGGACAGCTGCGGGGCATTCAAGAGGCTGAGAAGCAGAGCCCTTAAAAGCCTGGGCTTTGGAGTGACTCACTGACTCTGATTTGAATCCAGGCTCGACAGTGACAGTGACACACAGCTATGCAGGCCCTGACGGCTCCAGGCCCAGGAGGCATAGCACACCCACATCCCGCGAATGGCGGGATGAGGAGCCAGGCAGTACAGAACCCACAAGGCCCCATGCACTAGCCGAAGGCTGCGAGACCTCGACTAACTTAGGTAAGCTTTCTGAACCTTAGTTTCACTATCTGTGAAATGGGGAGAGGATAATAATTACACCCATTTCATTAAATGAACTAACACACATAACATGCCCAACACGGTGCTCGCCACAAAACAAGTATCTGATAAACGGTAGTTCCTATGATTGTTATTAAAATGATTACAGAATGTTTATTTCCACATCGCTCAAGGCCTTGCCTGGCACTGCGGACACTACGAATGCTCAAGGGTATTTGTTCCTCCTACAGCCCCAATTCCATTCTTCATTTGCTCTTTGCAAAGAAGCTATGGGGGGGGGGTAAGACTTAGGGTCATTTTCCAGCTTTAGCAACTGAAGCCCCAGAGAGGGAAAGTGACTTTTCCTGGTTAGGCAGAAAGGAGGCAACAGAGCCATGACTCAGACCCTGCCCTCTGGACTCCTTGCCCAGTGCTCTTTTAACCCCATCAGGAAGCTGCTCAGGGAAAAAAAAACCCTGGACCAGAGTCACAATCCCAGAACTGATCTTGGTGCCATGATGGTCAAGCCTTCATTTCAGGCAGAATAGTCCTTCTGCTTTTCCATTCTCTGCCAAGGGCCCATTTCAAACAGTCAAACTTGAGCCTAGATCCAGGGCTACAGGTTGTCTGGATTGGGGTGTGTGAGCGTGTATGTGTGCACAAGTGTACTCGCATGTGCCTCTTAAACGTGCGGGAAACAGAGGCCCAGAGGAGGAAGGAGCTCCTTCAGGTCAGAGGATTTTCTCCATGGATGGGAGCTGTGGTTGGTATGGCCTCAGCCCCCAGCTCGGAGATCACCAGTGCCCTACCTACATTTCCTTCCGTGGCAGACAGCAGGCAGATGCCCACTCTGACCCAGCAGCTTTCCGGGGAAGGAACAGAATGAGCAAGGAGGAAACAAACAGGGGCAGGCACCTCTGTGGCCATGTGTTGTGTGTGCTCTTGGGCATGGGTAATGACCATGTGTACAGGCATAGGTACGTCCCCGAATCTGTCCTTTTTATGTAGAACTGCCCCCCACAGAAAGGGGAGAAGTGAAAGGAGACCAGGATTTAAATAATTTCCTCTCAGATCCAGTCATGGGTAAACCAGCTTCCGATTGTTAATAAACATGACAGATACAGAGGGCACTGTGGGACACATTTGGCCAGACAGGCATTCCAGAAACTGCTGTCATCTTCCCTAACCCACTAGGTGATCTTGGACAAGTCTCCTTTCTTCTTTCTCTGGGCCTCAGTTTTCCATTCCATTAACTGGGGTAATTCAACCTGACGGGATGTTAAGATCAAGCAAGGTAGAATATGAAAGAAGCAAAAACCACTGGGTAAATGAGATGTTTAGTGGAGCTGACTACACAGAGACCAGGACACTTTCTCGGAAATGAAAGTGGCAGCCAGAGGGACAAAAGGGGCCCTGAACTGGCAGTCAGAGGACCTAGGTGTCAGTCTTACCCGGCTACCCACCAGCTGTGATGCTGTTGGCTTGTGGCCTCCCCAATCTTCCCTAGTTGCAAGGTAAGCCAGTGGAAAGGCATCTTTCTGCCTAGGCTGTCAGCCTTCCATCCTGGGCGTGGGTGGCCTGATGCTCTATAGGCTGCCCTCCCCAAGCATTCAGACACAGAGCTGTTGCCCAAGAGTAACCCTGAATGTTCCACTTGGCCCACTGCCTAGGGTCCCAACCGGTATATGGCTGGCCACCTCCCTGACCAAGCATCTTACCCAAACCCAAGCAAGACACTTTGGCCCAAGTCATAGAGTCTCTTTCTTCCCAGGAGCTCAACTCCCTTCCCATGGATGGACACATGCACCTGTCCATTCTGCCCACAGAAGGAAGAAGAAAGTGGGATCCAGAAAGAAGATCCAGTTTTCTAAAATGCTTTGTTGTTGGCTAAAACCAGAGAGGTTGAGTAACTTTCCTGGAGTCATACAGGAAGTCAGCTGTAGAGTAAGCAAAAACCTGACCATCCAAACCTGTCACATCCACACCAATCCTTCCCCATTCCCTTTGGGGGTGGGGGCAGTGGGCACGTACTACCTTCTTCTTAGATTTCCCTTCTTTCTAAGAAAATGAGAAGTCTAGAACCCCAGGGCAATCCCAGTCTTGTTTAAAGTGTGATTGCAAAACTGCCCCTCCCCATTGCGGGTAATTCTCAGATAAATGTTCTTCTCCAACCCCCTAGAGGACGCTGTCTGGTGAGGGCAGCACCCACCAGCCCCAAACTGAGAAGCCCTGACCCACCACCAAACTAGGCTCTGAAGGTCCCCCAATCCAACCGTCTTGTCAGTAGAACCTGCTGCTTCACCATGAGGTGAAAGGCAGCAGGGGAGAATCCCCTGGGAAGGCTCTCACCAGCCAGATCCTGAGGCTGACCCTGGGGAGGGGATGTAGGTTTGTAACCCAGATCCTTAAGGATACCAGGGGATGGGCTGCAGATCCCCAAAGCAGCCAGGGTGCAGGGGCATCCCTTCTGAGAGGTAGAGGCTGAAGGGGGGCTGGCAAAACCAGGGCCACCCCTCTGCAGCATCTTAGGCCTCCCAAAACCCAGACCACGCTAAATGCCTGAAGACGAAGTGTACCCCCCGGCCCACCGCTTCCTCGCTGAAGACAAGATTCCCACATTCCCTCTCTGCACTCCTCACCGAGCCCAAGGGACTCGGGAAGACAAATACTTGTTGCCATAAAAGTGAACTATGAGGGTTAAAGTCAGACGCGCAGAAGGGTCGCGCCGGGGGTTGGCGGGAGAACTTGGTCGTGCCTGGGCCAGAGATCTCGACCCTTTGCCCCTACTTTGCACCCTAAGATCCGTACCAAAGCTGTGGCGAAGGTTACTGCCCTAGGAGGGCTCAAACCCGTCTGGACCCTTGGGCCAACCGGGCGGGAATAACTTGCTCCTCGCACACACCCTCATCCTCCCTAAATTCTCCCCGCCACTCACCCACCCACTCCAGCAACCGTCCCCGGGCTCAGTGAGGGTGTGCGGCTGGGAGCCGGTACCTGCTTCCTGAGCGCCTCGAAGGCTGCACTGATCGTGTGCACCCGCGTCCGCTCCCTGGCGTTCGCTAGAAGCCTCCGGGTCTGCTGCAGGGCTTTGATCTCCGACGCAGCGGTGGTCGCTTCGCCCGGCCGTTTCCTAGGCGACGCGGAGGAATCCGGGTGGTTATTGTAAATTACGTGTGAAATTGACGAGTAAGAACTTTCCCCGGGGCGCGTGGGGGGCGCTGGGCGCACGGAAGACTCCGGGGGCGCAGGGGGCGCCGACGGCGTGGGGCGTGCAGGCGGTGCGCACAGCAAGATACGGGGACGAAGGCCGGGCTCCCGGAAAGGTTGCGCCTCGGGACCCCCGGGGACTTGGCCCTGGGGCGCCGGAGGCGGCGGCGGCGGCGGTGGTGGCGGTGGCGGCGGCGGCGGCGGCGGCGTGGGGAGTCCCGGCCCCACTGCGCCCAGGGCGAAGCCGCGCTTCCGCGCGTCGGAGACCTCCGGCGCCCGAGCGCCCCTGCGCTCCCCAGCCGGGTCCGCGCCCCCACCTGAAGGAACAGCCGGCGCCAGCTGGGCTGGCACCGGGGCCGCGACCGGCTGCAGCCTCTGGGTCCTGTCGCGCAGCCCGTTAGTGGCGGTGGCGCCGTACTCCGGCGCTTCCAAGTCCAATCGGAAAGTTTTATAGCCGTTCGCGCGCCTCGCCGGCTCCTTGCCTTTCCGCTTGAGCTTCTTGAGGCCGTTCAGCTCCTTCACGCACACGGTCTTCCACGGCCCGTCCTCGAGAACCGGGATGTGCTTCATGGCGCGGGCAGCGCGCGAGGCAGGGGCGTGGGGCTGCCCGGGCCGCGCGCCCGCCGCGCTCGCTCTGCACACTGCGCGCCGGCTCTGCCCGGGCGGCCGCCGCGCTCAGCGCCTGGGAGTCTCGGGCTCTCCCCCCTGCTCGCGCCGCCCTCCTCCCTCCCTTTCTCCCCCTCGCCCGGGGCAGCTGCGCCGCCGGCTCCGCGAAGCCGCCGGGCTGTCCGTTCCCGGAGCGCTCAGAGTGTCATCTGAAGTCGCTGCCGCCTTGCCAGCATTTCTGGAGAACGCCCGCTGCGCTCCATCTGTGTTTGTTTAGCCTCAGTTTACACAGAAGCCCAGTTCGCGAGATCAGTCAGCGCCGCCGCCCGGAGAGGAGGCAGCTCCCGCTGCCGCCGCCTCCCCAGCCCCGGCCGCCCGAGCCGCGAGAGCCTTTAAAGAAACAGGAAGCATTTTTCAAAACAGCTGGGCTGCCGGCCGCCTCCTTTGTCCGCGTCCTCTCTACCTCCCCCCACCCCCATCCCTTCTGTCCAGAACCTGCCTCCTCTGACTCTCCCTCCACGCCCCTCCTCAAGTCCGGGGCGCTCTCTTTTCCCCAGAGGACCGTCCGCTCCCCGGCAGAACTACCCCGAGCACGTGGCTTTCTGGGCCCTTCGGCCCTTCCCCAGATCCAAGCTGGGCCTTCTCTACCCAGCCTAGCTGACCTCTGAGGGACCTTCTGCACCCAGCACCTCCCCGTCCCAAATCACCAACTAAGAAAAAACAAAAACAAAAACAAAAAAACGGAGCGGGGACTTCTGCGAGGGGGAAGATGAGGGGGCCTGCTGGGGGAAGGGAAAGGCCCTGAGTTGCCCAGACCCTCACTGCCACAGCTCCACAACCCCACCCACTGGTCACTTGCTAGAGCAGGGAGCCGGGAGTAGAAGGCCTAGGCTCTAGGGAAACTGAGGCTCAGAAAGGCATGTGTTTTCCCACTCACACTGCGAGTCAGAGAGGCTGGGGAGGGTAGACACTTTGGATTCAGGTAGACCTGGCATCCGTGAGATTCTGAAGGCACCTCACCCCAGGCTGCCTGCTAAGCCCGGATTTGCTCATCTATGAAATGAGAAGTGCGCAGAGCATAGTGCCTAAGTCCCAGGCTTGCTGCTGTGAGCAACTAAACCTGGGCACACAGGAAGTACTGGTCAAATGACGGCTCTGCTTATGAATGTTACTAATAACAGGGACAGAGTAGCTCCTAGAGGCAGATTTCCTAGGTTCAACCCCAGCTCTGCCACTTACAAACTGAGTGATCTTGGGCAAGTCACTGCACCTCTCTGTGCCTCCCTTTCCTTGGCTATAAAAGGGAGGTAACAATCGAACCTTCCCCTGGAGGGGGGTGGAAATTGAGAGTATGTGTGCCAGTGCTCAGAGCCGGGCCTGGTGCTAAGGGAGAGCTTTGCACATGCCCACTAGCATGGGCAGGGAGCAGAGGTCCACTTTCCAGACCTTCGATCCTCAGTGCCAGCCCCCTGGAGATTCTGGAAAGAAGAGGTCAAACTAGGGAGCTCTTACCCAAGGCCAATTTCCCCAAGTCTGCCCTGGAGGACCAGCACAGGGCCTCACCCCTCCTGGGTCCCTTCTCTGCAGCAGTTCCTCCTAAAGGCCATGACGGGCACATGGAGCAGTTTGGGAGAAGAAGATGGACCCTCTACCCTGGTCTTGGGCTCTGGCCTGTGTAGCCAGTGGGACCTCATCTTTCTGTTTCAGTCCTTCACTCCTGCTCCCTGGTGGGGCTTCTCCTCTGAAAATGCAGGAGGGGGCAGGTGGCATGGTGGCCTGTGGCATGTGGGGTCCTGGGAAATAGGATGATAGTCCAGACAGAAGTCTGGGGCAGGAGCACAGAGCTGGGACCAGGAGCCCATGATAGATCTTGGGTTTTCAACCATTGAGCCTCATGACCATAGGCCAGACATTTCATCCCACTCACTTCTGTTTTCTCCTCTGTCCTTAAGGATATTTCTGTCTAGCCAGCCTCTCAGGGTAGTTGGAAAAGTAAAAAGAGATTGGAGATTTAAAATGACTTTGACCTAACGCTTCAAAGGCACCCTCATGTGTACATGTTCACACTCACAGAGGCAAGCAGTTTTCTGACTATAGTAAATCCTGAACCTCATTTTTTCCACCAAGAGGACTCTTCATAATGCATGCGCCTTCTGAGGCATGCCCCTCCATGCACACCCAGCATCTTCCCGCACCTTCCTTCTCTCTTTTAAGACCAAGGGTGTGCCCCAGAGAGGAGCCCTTGTTCATCTGCTGTCTCCCCAACCCAGTCCCGGGACCCTAACACCTTGGCTTTTGCTCACAGGTCTCCCACATCTCCCCTCTGCGGAGCACGCTCTTCCTCACCCTTTGATGACTGGCTGCAGTGTCCCTTCCTCCTGTAAACCTGGGCTGACCCCCACAGCCCCCTGTCGCCCTTGCTGGCCTCTGCATAGTCTCGCTCACAAGTCTGACTGCAATCTGTCCTCCATTGAGGACCTGGCTGACCCCCTAGTTTGTGAGCTCCTGAAAGCCCACAGTCTCCTTCCTCCCTGTCTCCAAGAGTTGGTGCTCAGGAGACCTTTGCTGGAGGACAGCCAGCTCTCCTGTCCTTTACATTCTCCAGAACTCAAGCAGAGGCTAAGATCCGTGCTTGCCCTTTCCTTGTGCATCTAGTTAGTCGGTGGCAGACATGGGAGCAAAACCAGGCACCCCACCCTCACCCAGAGCTGCAGGGGTGCTCTCTAAGCCTCAGAGTCCTCACCTACAAAATAGAGATCATGCTATTGTGCCTCATAGGGCAGTCACGGGGCTTACATGAGGTTGCGGGTACAGCTTTGCCCATAGTGACCGTGTAGAGTGAGTAGTGGCCTTAGGCACCTCCTGTTTGCAGACCGCCTGGGCTCCTTGCATCCCAGCATCTGTCCCCAGACTCAGGGAACAGTTGCGGGCTGGGGTTTCTATAGCTAGTTGGGGTGGCTAGCTTGGAAGTCACTGGCAGGACTGAAAAATCAGGCTGTGCTCCAGGGAAAGCACCTATGTTGGCTGAGTATCAAGGGCTCCACTCATGCTGCCTGAGCGCCTCACCGGCTGTCCCCCAAACTAGAGAAGATCGCTGGAATCCCATGATGCTCATTTTCTGGGCATTATCCCCTTAGTCATAAGATGGAATGCGTCATAAGATGGAATGGAACAGGAGGCAAACTGTAAAGGACCCAAGTGATGCGGAGGGTCCCTGTTAATGTCATTCCCAGCCCACCAGGTGGCAGATCTTCAAGGCCCAGGCTAGCTGCCCATAGACCCCCAGCCTCAGGGTAAACTTGCATCCCAAGGCTCCTGATTCTGCCTTCCCTCAGCCTCCTTGGAAAATGTGTGTGTGTGTGGGAGAGAGAGAGAGAGAGAGAGAGAGAGAGCGCCCGCGCGCGCGCCGGAGAGCAGCCAGGCAGCGCCCCCTGGTGGTATGTTCTGCCTGTACCGCACATCTCCCTGCAAGGAACTTGCTCTTTTTGAAGCCACCAGTGATAGCCTTGCGATGACAGTAATATGGAATTTGTGAATTCATAGAGTTGCCAGGATAAAAGGGCTCTTGAGGCTCAAGGTGGTCTCACCCTCTGCTTGGGATGGCACTACACAGACACCCCAAGAAAACCTATGCCCTACATTAAAAACATCCCCCCACTGACTCAACTGTTGAATGTTACCCTGGGCTAGCACGATCGTGCCATTGGGAGGGTCCACATCCCCTGGATGGCTGTTCCAAAGAAGAATGAAGCTAGAAAGGGAAAGGAAGGCAAGAGCTCTGGGTCTTAGGCGCCTGGGAAAAAATACTAGACAGCTGGGCAGCAATCATTACTTCCACAGGGACTGATGACAGGCTCTGTTTCTCTAAATCCTTATGATGACCCAAGGAGGTAAACCCATTCTACAGATAAGGAAACTATTCCCAGAGGGAAAACCTTGCCAGAAGAAAGGAAATAACCGAAGTGGGCTTTGAGCCCAGGGCAACTGACCAAAACTCCCAAGCTTTGAATCATCATGCTTTGCTGTCTCCTGAGAACTTAGGGACTTGCATTTGGGGGACTGAGTAGCTGGGCTACATATAGTGCCGGGCTCTTCGGCATCCTCGCTTATCCCTGCATGTGCTGCCAGCCTGGGTGAGTTTCTTGCTGTCCACCTCTCAGCCGGAGCCACTGGCCTGCCTTTGGACCAGCCCAGTGCTCCGGCTCGTTCCAAGTCAGGATCAGATGCCAGGGCCCCACTTCTGGACATTCGAGGGTCTCAGGCATATGCATCTCAGATCTTGGCATCCAAGCACTGGAGCCCTCCCAGCATTGCTGAGTGGAACCTGCCCAGAAAATTCTTGGTGCCCACGCAACACCCATGGGTGAGGATAGGACAGCTTGGCAGGGTGACATCCAGCAATTGCCATCTTCTTAGCTGGATGGGATGGAACCTTGGACACTTGCTGCATGAAATTCTATATTCCTGAACCTGGAGTCTTCATTGCTGGCTGTCCTGATTGTTCCAAAGTGGGTGTGTCCATCAGCCAATCAAGAAAGGGGTGAAGAGGGGTGCCTGGGTGGCTCAGTGGGTTAAAGCCTCTGCCTTCGGCCCAGGTCATGATCCCAGGGTTCTGTGATCGAGCCCCATTGGGCTCTCTGCTCAACAGAGAGCCTGCTTCCTCCCCCCTCTCTGCCTGCCTCTCTGCCTACTTGTGATCTCTGTCAAATAAAAAATAAAATGTTTTTTTTTTAAAGGGGGGTGCCTGGGTGGCTCAGTGGGTTAAAGCCTCTGCCTTTGGCTCGGATCATGATCCCAGGATCCTGGGATTGAGCCCCACATTGGGCTCTCTGCTCTGCGGGGACCCTGCTTCCTCCTCCTCCTCTCTCTCTGCCTGCCTCTCTGCCTACTTGTGGTCTCTGTCTGTCAAATAAAAAAATAAAATCTTTTAAAAAAATTTAAAAATTAAAAAAAAAGAAAGGGGCAAGAGTGGAAATTGGATTGGCACAAGGAAATGGGGTACATATGACTAGAGCACCCAGAGTCGTCCTCATAGCAGCCCTAGATAGGACCACCCAGGGCAGTGAGCAAAAAGTAGGATACAGTAAGCCTGAGGGCCCCAAAGCCCCTCCTTAGCTCCCAGTCACAGGGTCCACATGGCCACCATTAATCAGCAGGACACTGGCCCAGGGGACAGGGATGAGACATCCAGGCAGGGAGCTCTTTTGGACTCACTTTCCCCTCTTCCCTCTACCTTCCTCCGTCCAGGTGATCTTTGCACTGACTCTTCCCTTTGCTGTGCTCTGCCCCCAGATATCCTCATGGCTCATTCCCTCTTCCCTTCTGGGGTTTCTGTGTTGCCTTAGTGAGGTTGTCTTTGAGCACCAGGTAGAGTTTATGTCTCCCTTCCCCTTCTCCCTTTTCCCTGCTTTCATTTTTCAAACACTTACCCTGAGGGCAGGGGTTTTGGCCTGCCTGGTCCACTGCTGTATCCCAGCCACTGGAAAAATCCCTGGCACACAGTAGGCACTCAGAAAGTACTGACTGAATGAACAAAGGCCCGCTGCACAGCTAGGATATTGGCTTGCTCAACTTTTGCCCAACCAGCTGCTTTGACAGAAGAGCAAGTGGATCCCAAGACAGAGCCTGTTCTATACAGGGATGGCTGCTCCGACCACGGGAAACAGGTGCGCCTGTCAGATTCT